TAATAACTTAATGAGGGCTTACAAGAAGAAAGATAAAAACTTCTTACACTTTTAGCGCATACTATTTTTATTACGTATAACTGTAATTGAAGGCAAGAGTTAATCAATTTAAGTCAATCTCTTAAATTGGACGTTATATGCGTGTTAAAATTAAAGATTAAATGTTAACAATAACGATTTCGCGATTTTGAAAACAAAAACTTTTGGGGTAGAGAAGGAATTGGTGCAATGCCATCAGGTTTGTTTAGTATATTTTTAGAAGATGACTACTTCTTAGGACTAAGAAATGACTCAGTGAGAAAATATATGTATATATATATATATATATATATATATATATACATGTATATAGAACTATCTACATACGGTAATCACGTTCCCGTTAATAATACACGTACTTGTTGAAATTTGTAAGTCAATCTCACGGCTAATTATCTAGATTAATTTCATTAAATTACCTAATATTTTAATAAAAGATATAAGGAATTTTCTGCTACCTTACTGCCTGCCTTCTTGATGTATTTGGAAGCACGCCCAGTTGAAAGAGAGTCCAGTTAAATTGGGAGGTCGAATCCTGTCGGGCATTTCTTTTTTTCTTTTCTTTTCTTTTCTTTTTTTTTTTTTTTTTACTGCTCTAAAATAAGCCTACTGATTGTGCCGAAGTCGTATAAGCAATATGGAAGTCCGATGCTGCTTGTACGCCTGAAAGATACACCTAACACACAAATAGGAGTTTGGCCTAAAACTACGTGATAAATTTTAGATAAGAAAAGCTAAAAAATAAGCCAACTTCTATCTACTACTTCCGTGCGGAAATTACACTAAAAAAAAGAAAAACTGCTGCAATTAAGAGAAAAAAAACTTCAGATTGCTAAATGAATGTCTGGAGTGTACATGAAAGATTTTAGACGAGGGAAAATGAGAAACGAAATTTTAAATTCATGTAATTACATTTAGTTTGAAATTTAGTAGAATATTACACATATAAAATAACTTTTTTTTTTAAAATGCAGCCTACTGTTAAAAAATTTCGGCTGCTTAATTTAAAGGAAGCTCGCATTTTGTTTTCTCTTCATTAAGCCGTTTCTTCCTTTAAAACAATTTCGAAATCAATGAAGTACTTTATCTTCATGCAAATGAGAAGCGATTAATTAACATGGTGTCAGTTGTGATGCTTGAGGATAAAAACAGCGGTGATGGTAATTAATGATGGAACTTCAAGAATTCAAGAAACCTTTGATATGATATGAATGTGCTACAAAGTGCATTTAATTTATGCTAAACAATACTGTTTTCCTTTACCTCATTCTTGAAGTTTAAAATTTCTTATTGCTTTGTAACTCCATGTCCTCTTTTCCTCAAGAAACTCGTATTAGTTCATATAAAAGAGTAGTCTTAAAATATTTTACTTTACTTTGCATTTTGAAGTTTACGATCATTTGCTTCTAATTTGTTAGTCTCAAAATCTCTCGTTTTGACTGAGGTAGATATTAATTATAAATTAAACTTGAAAATTAGAAAAATCCTTTAGGATGACTAAAATGGTGAAATATTTAAATGTGTGCTGTAGAATACAAACCTCAGAAAGCTGCATTTAATTATATTCATTTTCCATTTACTTAAAGCGCTTTATACTGAAAATGCAACATGAAAGCAATATTAAGTGAAAACACTTACGCGATAAGGTCATCTTTAAATAACATTTTATTAAAAGATATCCAATACTTGCTCTCTAATTTTGAAAGCTCAGTGAGTAAACGCAACCTTATGGCGAAAAAAAGGAAAGATCTGTTTTCAAATGCCTGGCCCGAATTGTAATTTTCAAAGAAAAAACTTCAAAATTCGAGGATTTAATAATGATGGATTGAGATATATAGTATATATATATATATATATATTATAATGCTGGCCATTAAAACTGCTACACTATGAAGATGGCATACATCAAACGTCAATTTTACATGAAAGATACTACATGAATGGCATATGCAAGCGGTTAGCATTCCTATGCATGCACACAAAGCAGATAGGAATAACGCCATCTACACTGTGTATAAATGGGAGGACTGCACAGAGAGTTTCTCACTTCTGAATTGCATTTGAACATTAGTTGTTTGTGTAAAGGTCACGTTATGCGTCATGTAATAAAAAAACTCCTACAAGCACGCATCGGAATTCAACAGCGACAGGACTACGATTTATCGTTCCGTGACATTTCTGCTGGTGTTGATCAGGATCCCATGACAGTCTGAGGAGTGAGAAATTGATGAATATAGAACGCCATGCAAGATCTCAGCGACTTCGGGTTGTCAGAAATTTGGTTCGTATGCAGGAAGACAAATGACCGCTCGGAAAATGCGGCAATATCTGTAGCACCACGGACGGTCAGCACGGCGACATTGTTACGGCTTTCCTTGAAGCAGCAACAGAGACAGGCACGCCTACAGTAATGCGACGAACGATGACACTGGATACATGAGTGGCACCCCGTCGTCTTTTCAAACAAATCTCTATTTAGGTATAACATCAGGATGAACATATCCCAGTGTGAAGGAACAGAGGAGGACAAACTTACATGTCCTCCTCTGTGCCTCCACACAAACACGCCTATAGTAATGCAAGGTATCATGCGTTCCCAGTGGCGTGCAGGCGTGCATCTATTTATATAGAATATACATCCTATAATTGACATAAATGGTAACGTGGATAGCTGCCGTTGCATTTCCGACATGTTAAGACCCTTGTTTGTGCTATACTCGAGGTCTGCGTAACACTATCTTTCAACAAGATTAATGCACGGCAGCATGTTACCCTAGGCTACGGTTATCATGATGTTTTAAGTAAAAGCAAGATTTATAAAAAAACAGAAATAAAAAAACTGACGTCAAGCCATTGAAGTATTATGGAGCATTACTGAAAGCAACACTGCACGCTTGATTCGTATAGTGTGTCTTCGAGCAAAGCCGAAACTTTGGCTGCCTTGTTCCCAGTCCATGCCGTCGCAGTAACTATTGCAGCGCATGTGCGAATATTTGAAGCTGTGTAATTCACCCAGTTTCCTTAGAAGGATATGAGATTTTGTTACATTAAGCGTAAAAGGGACCTCAATACAAAAAACAACGAGTTTCCAAACGAAAAATCATCTTTTCAATATGTCTTATTATACCACTACGAGGTACGTTTATTCTTGCTTATAATGTGCGCATGTCATAAAATGAAGATCTTTTGTACGCTTACCATAATATGTTCTACTCAAATCGGGACAATTTTGAAAAACCACTCTCAATCGAGAATATAGCCTACAAGATAAGTAACCATGATTGAAAAATCTAGGTTAAAAAAACAGTGAGTTGAAAGAAAACCTAATAACTCAACTGAATATTTCATATTATTAGGAAGCTGTCAGTATTTATCACTAGTGTGAACTTTCTTTGCTATTTTTAATGGTATAAAAAATTCACTGCTAATTTTGCTGTTCGCAAAGCTTGAAAGGTTTATTCATAGTATCCATTTTCTTTATAACTTTTATTTTTCCACTTTCATAATTAACTGACCAAAAATACTCTTCAATCACCACTTCATCAACAGGTTGATCCATGTTTATTGTAATATTTGAGGCAGTTACATTATTTTTTTCATATGCAGCTTCAATTTCAAATCATGCTAATTCACTGTTCTTACCCAAGTATAAGATTCTACATCAAAATGGTCTACCTATAGTTCAATGTAAAAACGACATCTGTCATCATTTTGCGGGAAAACATCTAGAGTCTACATGTGGAAATAAAGTTTGTGGTCCGCGAAAATTTACATTGCAAACTTAGTGGTCTGAAAAATCCAAAAGGTTTTTGAAAGCTGATATAGAAAATATTAAAGTACTTAGATATAGATATTACAAAATATCTTCAAAGACATTTGTATTTAGACTGGCAATAGTGAGTGTAACAGAGGAATATTTTAATTTCTAAATCGCCATTTTATTCGATACTGCATAATTTTTACTTCTACTATTTGGTACTTTAAACTAACTTTTGCATATTAGGCACTTAAAATTTTACCAAATAACCGGGACAAAATAGCAAACTGGGCGGATGGACCATATGATCAAACTGGGACAGTTCTGGTCAAAGCGGGACGTCTGGTAAGCCTAATCATTTCCATAGTTTACACCTTTCACGCAAACTCCAGTGCACTTGTAGGATTTTTTCATATTACAGCAGCTTTAATGGTTAGGAGTATAAAGTAATATCATGTATTTGAGTCTTATATAATTAAAAAATTATGTTTTAATTAATGAATAATTTAATTAACCACATAAACTATGTGACACATTATAAGCTTTTCCTTTCGAAAATTAAAACTTTTCCAGCAGTCAGATAAGTTTTAGAGATTTTACTCTTCAAGATATCATAAGGTATTTCCAAAATTCTATACTCAAATAAATTACCAGTTTTGAGTCTAGTTACCTTTCGCACAGAACCTCGTAGATGTCATATTACAATTAATAATATGGCAGCATTCCGATTAATAAAACGTCCATTAACATATAAATATTTTAGTGACAAACATCTCCCATGCAACTTATTAGTTAATTTCTAACTAATAAGGAAAGCATTCCTGTGGCATAACAGCTTACATATAAATATTTTTGTACACATATAGAATTTGCATTATCCAGAACGTAGTAAAGGAAAATATTCGAATATATGAAGATTTTGGGCATATTAAAAACAAAGCATAGAAGAAAAAGGAAAAAACACAAAGCTAAAAATTTGCTGAATCGGAAGAGCGCCTTTTTTGTTTTGAATAATGTCATTAATTAGAGGCATTTAGTCATATTATGAATGCATATATTTGTAGAAGTTTCATTTATTTGCTAAAGGTACATCAGCGAAGTGCTAGGCACTTAAACGGCATCTATTTATTGCTCGATCATTCCTACTTTAGTTATGATTTAGAATTGATGCAAAATACTCAGGAGAATGAACAAAAACACTTACCTGTAAATGAAACATTGAGAATATAGTCGAGGTAGAATTTCCCACCATCTACTGTCCTCATTTCATTGCAGTAACTTTCACCTTTTGGCTCACACAGTTCGCGCCACACTTTGTCCAGCGCATGAGCGAAAGCATACACAGCATCTACCACGAACTGTACTTTGGATTCTTGCCTGTAGCCTACACTTTCGTCCAGTCTAAGATTTGGCGAGCACACAGGCACACTAGAATTCGGTTTCACATTTTGCGGTAGTTTACAAGCAAACACGCTTTCCCAATATTCTTCGAACCATGGATTTCTCTTATTTGTCGTAGGTATAAGGTTTTTCATATAATCATTAAATTCTGTAATTTCTGTAGATTGTAATTCTACTGTTATCGCACCCTCTGCAGCCCTTTCAAGGCCTTCTACCAGCTTCTCTTGTTTGCCCCATCCATCACTGGCGACCCATGTAAATATATGGTTGTTGGATCTCATAGCTGCCCTCAACATGCCAGCGGCATCTTCTGCCCTGGTGAAGAGAACCACGCCGCGGGCGCTGATCTTCTGCAGCAGGTTCTGATAGATGGAGTCAAAGACCTCCTCCGTCGCAGAGTGGGGCACTTTCTCAGACACGGCGATGCAGATATTGCGACTACGGGCTTCTCTTTGGAAAGCAGTCATACCTGAATCGCCATACTGACCTTCAGATGACACCAAAGATACATATGACCAATTAAAACGCTGAACCAAATCAACTAAAGCCACAGCTTGGAATGTGTCCGACGGTACAGTGCGGGCGAAGAAGTCATATCTGAAATACATAAGTGCATGTCTCATTTGAAATGAAAAAATATACTGACAGAATATAGATAGATGTAAGAGAAACATAAATTTATAATTAAAATTTACTTCATCATTAACTACTAGATTTATGCAATATATGTATCTTTTAAAATTCTTTCATGCATTCCTGATTGATAGGAGTTGCAGTTAAAGATAGGTACATAAAATATTTGTAATTTTACCAATAATGATATCAGCGAATTCTGTAATTAAGATACTTACGTACCATATTTCACAAGAAAATTTATTATTATTAACAACAATAAAATATGCAAAAGATTTGTTCCTGCAATAATTTTTATCATTAGTATATTTACTTATTTCTCTAAAAGATTCTGTTTACTTAAATCAGATAGTGGGAATGATATAAAATTCTACTAACTTGAATAAAGGTTTTATATTAATACTTACAACTGTTATGAAATTATTAAATTATAGCCATTATAAGGTCAAATAGTTTGAGCTATTAATATTTGGATTCAATATTTTGTAAGTAAAATAAATTAGTAAACAAATTTACAGCTTAAATTTCGTTACATAAATAAATGAAATATTTTGAACCAGTTTTTTTTTTTAATTTTTTAAACTTGGAGAAAGAAAAGTATTTGCTTCTTGTCACCGTAAAGACAAAGATATATGCATCGGGTCGACAAGAAGGTAATTTCGGTTTTGTAGAGTGAAATAAAACACAGTATTGTTTTTACATAAAAAATTAACTTTTCAGTCAAATATATTCCATTTTGTTTGATTACTTTTTGCCGTTTTCTGGTAACTTTATGATTCCGCTTATGGAACACCTGGCCTTTATCAGCAAAATACTCAACCAAGTGCGATTTAAAGTTATTGTTATTGCTGAAATTTTTACCATTTAAAAAGTTTTGTAAACTTGAAATGAGGTGCAAGGTCGGATCTATATTGGAGATGCGATGCCACTTCCCCACTAAAGCTGCAATAATTCCGTATGTATGTCTAAAGATGTGTGAGACCTCGCATTGTCATGGTGGATCACAATTCCTTAGCACTTTGCCAGTTCTGGCTCTTTCTGTTTGATTTCTTCCTCGAGTTTCATAAGAAGTTGCCAGTAAAGATCAGAGCTGATCGTTTGGTTGCTTGGAAATAGATCCGAATACACAATACATATGTAATTCCACCAAATTAGCGGCAGTACCTTTTTCCCACGCAATTTAGTTTTCGGTTAGATTTGTGCTGATTCATCGTGCTTGTACTATGATCTTTTCCAATTAATATTATTCTAGTCGATCCATTTCTCATCACCAGAGAAAATTAGTTTAAAAAAAAGGCCGACTGCATCACGTTTGAAATGCACATTGGAAATATTGATTCGTTGTGCTAAGTGAATTTTTTCAATTCATGCGAAACGAAAAAATCAAGTTTCTTAACGTGTTCAAGGCATCTTACGTGATTTTCAATTGTTGTGTATAATATATTTAATTGTTTGCAATCTCTCGAAAAGTTGTATGACGATTCCATTCAATTATGGATTTAATTTTGTCATCATTAATTTCAGAAGATCGGCAAGAACCCTGCTCATCTTTAAGTGAAAAATCTCCAGAAAAGATTTTTTAAACCAATGGCACTTGCGTTCTGTTAAGCATTGAACTCCATAAACTTCACATATTTTTTTGTGAGCCTCAGCCGCTTCCTTACATTTATGAAAATAAAAAATTAAAACGTGCCGAAAATGTTTATCTTTGCAACCTATGACCATTAACTAATAAGTTTAAACAAAAATACACGAATTTTTTTTCTGTAGCAAAATAAAAGTGTCAGCTGCGGATTCTCAAATAAAGAAAATGTAAGATTGACAGAAGAATAACAATACGAAGATAAAGCTATCTATTTGTCCAAGTAGAAATTGCTTTTTTGCCAACCCAGTATTTATCTTCAAGAAATTTGTACTTATATGCCTGATAAATATATTAATGCAACTAAAATACTGTGTCGTTTCCACTTATTAGTTTTAAAATTTGATTTCCTTTTATACGAGTATATTGACATTATTTTATGCTTAAATAAATATGGTATTAAAAAATTTAATACCATATTTATTTAAGCATAAAATAATGTCAATATGCCATATTAAATAAATATGGTATTACTGGAAAAATTAACACAATAATTAAAGCATTTTATTGAATTACCTAGTTTTATCACTCAGAGAAGTACCAGTGGAAGCATAGGATATCTGTGGAATCCTGAATAATCTAAGAAGATTGGCTACTTGAAGTGAGACTTCGCTATACGATCCGCCAACGACTCCTGTTATTGCTTTAGTTGAAAACTTGATGGTAGGTGGTGATCCATCAGCACATTCAAAAGCTGTTGCATCGACTGTATTGATCGAAGCTCGAATAAATTCTAGAGACTGGTTCAAAGCGTAACTGTCGCTGGAACATGTATCCAGTATGATTGCTCCTAACTTAATGTCTTTCAGGAGGCTTGTATCATTGTTGATCTTCTCCAGGGCATACAGCATAGATTCCACGCGTTGGACACCTCTGTCCTTATTGATGGCACCGCATCTGGTCTTTACACCTTTCTGGTGAACAGGAAAGAGCCCACCAAGTATTACGTCACCTTTCAAAATGGCCTTTCTACTGTCACTCAAACCGAGGTACAAAAGGACAAGACTTGCCACGCCTAGAAGATGGGAGGCAGGTGGTTTGTACCCCCCGCCCCTGAAGGAGGTCGTACCGATCGTCATCGTCTGTTGGGAGTGCTCCGACAGCGAGTAGATTGGGAGAATGCTGTCTTGTTACAGCAATGGTTACTTTGGCCTTGCATGAGTCGGCTTTGGATAATTACTTTCAGGACTGACAATGCAAAATTATTTCCTAGAAACAAAATAAAGTAAATACGTAAGTAAAATCCTACAATTTAATTCAAATTCCTATTTTTATATAGTATCAGATTATGTAATATCATTAGAATATTAGCAAAAGTCAGTACTTCAAACTTGCCAGATTCTTTAAATTTATTTAAATTGTAGAATTTAAAAAATCTATTCATAATTCCTAAAAGTTCCCCAACATTACCTAAATGTTTCTAAAATAAAACGCATAAATGAAAAACTAAGAAGATCAGTATTTGTAGGGTTCTGCTACATTTAAAAGCCTATATATCAAAAACCAGCAGACCATACTGCACTGTTAACGACTTATATTATCCCTTAGCCTGAAACGAATCACATAATCTAAAGAAGATTAATCTAATTTTTCTATTTACGTCTCAAATTAACAGAGAGGCACAGCTTGTGTGACAGACAAACCTCTGGTATTTGCGGGTATTTAAATTGACGTAACAGAAAGTTAAATTTCAAGTGTAGGTAACGGAGTTGAAGACTACGGTTGAAAAAGATGCTCTAATCTAAACTTTCAAAACCTTCACCTTAAATGCACATGCAGCTAATAATGCATTCTGGTGAGGTCTACGGAGAGGAGAAGTTACAATAAAGGTTTTAAATCATAAATAATTGCCTAATTAATATAACATACTAGATTACACAGTTAATATTTATTATTACATATAATTTTAATATGATCAATGTTTGAACAATGCAATATAAAAAAGCATAACTCAAACTGGTAAATAAAAAGCTGTAAACACTTTCCTTTAACAGAGTTTTGTGTGACATTTATGATTTTTTTTAACTAAACAGTCATTGACCCATTGACATTGACACATACACATACGCACGCGTAAAAAAGATCTAGAAATTCAAGCGTAAATATATTATTTAACAATAGTCTTAATCGATTAGATTTTACTTCCTTGTACGAAGTGAAAGAAGTATTGTAATCGTGAAAAATTTCTGGCATTATATTTCAATTATTTTCAAATCCACTTTGGACACTTTCTTCTGTTTGACACTTGTACGCACAGAATAAAGGACTCTTTTTTTTTTTCCGAAACGTATTTAAAGCAGATTCAAAAGGGATTTTTTTCGTTTCTTTTGTACGTACATATGTATTTCGCGTAGCTCGAAAACGATTAGCAGTAAAGTATAGAAATTTTGCATATCGGACTGCTAGAACACCAAGTTGTGTGCTTCCTTTTTTAATTGCAATTGGCAATAACAAATGCATATATGTTATGCATAATCGTTTATCGCAATCACATACTTTCAATTATGGAAATGTTTTAAGTGACGAAAATTTTTATGTTTTGGCAATATCAAATTTTAAAAAATATGTTCGATAAATAACGAAATCTGACTTTTAATGCGGTCTCCTGTTTCTTTTATTTATATTTCAGAAAGTTGAAAAATAAAATAGAATTATAAGAAGTTTGACTCCTGCGGGACAAACATTGACCAGGATATTTCATTTCAAAATTTGCAATTTTTAACGTCATTTTCAACTTGACTTGACAGATCGGTTATTCAACTTAGAATAATTCAATGAAGTAAATTTAAACCTAGTGCAGCAAAAATTGTGTACTTTTTAATAGGCCATAAAACAAAGTCGTGTAGTCTCCGCTTTTTTTCAATATTTTAGTTAGGGGATGCTTCTGAATTAAGTTTTAATGACCTTTGATAGCTCAAAGTAATGATAAAAAATTAATGGAATTTTAATATAATGAATACACCAACTGGGAGTAAGCAGACAAATCCAATTCACCTCTTATTATTGAAAATGCACATTGAGGAGTAAAAATCCTGATTAAACCCAGGATTAAACCGATTAAAAACTATATGAAAGTAGAATTTAAAAGTATGCAAAAAAGCAGCTTTAGTTTGGCACAGATCTTGATGCCAATTTATAGTTGCTTTTGTACCTAATTTTAAAACCTGTTTAAACCCAATAGTGAATTGTTCCTTGATTGGCTGCCCAAGATTTCTAAGTACATAATTATGCAGAGTAAATTGACGTAACAGATTGAATCAGAAAGCTTGTTGCATCATATATTTTGCCGCTAAAATTTGAATTACGTAATTTATGAAGAAAAATTACTTTCTCTATTGCAGATAATATTAATCTTTATTACCTGCAATGGCAAAGCCCGTATGCGGGTATTTAATAGCTTTTTCTATACTTCTTGTTTTCTTGCGTATGTTTAAAGGTTACAATTGATAAGCAATACAGAGCAAATACGTACATATGTTTATAAAATGATTCCGAATATGCAATTCTAAACACACATATTTTCAAATCGGTTCTCCATATAATATATTTACATATGGAAAACATTTTGAAGATTTGAAAGACTTTGATGCCACAGTTCTAGTACTGAAAGATAAGCCTATCGCAATATCTGAAAGATCGCTTTAGGAAAAGGAACGTATTTCCTTTGAGAAAAAGAAAAGGAGAAAAGGTAGGCGGAATAACGTAAAGAGGGAAAAATGTGACAGAATGCTAGTTTTATGATAATGACGGTTTAAAGCAAAATGTGACATGTACCTTAAAGGAATTCTAATGATTCCTTTCTGAAAAAAAGGGAACAAATGTGAGTTGAATTCACATAGGTGTCTAGTAATACTCTGAAATATTAAAAGAAAAAAAAATTGATGTGGACACGACATGTCAATGCGGACTATTAATTACACTCATTTTTACTACACTTCATTTAAAGTTATTTCTTCAAGTTATTCTAACTAAATTAATCGATCCCTCAAGGCAAGTTGAAAATGACATCAAAAATGACAAAATTTGAAATTAAATATGCTGGTCAATGTTTGTCATACGAAAGACAAATAGTTTTTTTTTTTTTTTTCATAAAACTTTTCTAAATAGAAGTATAGGAGCCGGGAAACAGCATAAAAAGTTAGATTTCGTTATTTGTCCAAAAGTAATTCTTTGTTAAAATTTAAAATTTCCAAAATCTGAACTTTTTCCTAATTTAAAGCACTTTTGAGACCACATGACTACGACTAACGATTCAGAAGACAAAGGTTGGGTAAGGGGTGTTTGTATATATGTATATATATATATATACTTAATGTTAGGATTTAATTATTACCTCTTAAGAACAGTATTTCAATAAACATTAAATTGACAATAAACATTGCCAAACATTAAGCACATTATTTCCGATTCCAATAATTCGTGGGAAGCCCTTTCGAATATTCCCATCTTCGTACGACTTTAATCAGCCGAGGTATTAATTAAAAACTCTGAAAATATTAATTTTCGCACTCATTTTTTCCGAGTGGCAACAGTCTCGTGCGTTGCTCATAAAAATGTTTCGAAAAGTGTTGCTACTGCTTGCTTTCAAAATAAAAGCGTTTGTAAAATAAAATATTTGTAATAGTAGCATTTGTAAAATAAAAAATTTGTCAGTTTTAACAAAATCTATATATGTATATAAAGAAGAATGCCTGTTTGTGTGTTTGTTTGTTCGCATTATTATGCTGATCAATTATGATCAATTGTTTGCCACATTTAATCGACTAAATTGAATATAGGTGAAATATTGGATTTAACTTGAGTTTTTATGACCATTTGATTAAACAGACGATTATCACTAAAAAATGCGTGCCATTGGTGCTGATATAATGAGAGAGAATTAGTTTATTTTTCTATCGAAATTTTTATGTGGATTCTATATCGCATCAGACTACGACTATGAATCGTATTTTATTGCATCGTTATTAGAAAAGGATTACAGCGGTATCGTTCTCTCTGTTGTTAGACACATTACTCTCAATCTAACGTAACTGGCATGCACGTGCACTTTTGCATGTAATAAATTAATGTTTGGAGGAGCTTTGCACTTCTTAGATCTACTTTTAATTCCATTCCATAAGGATTAAAGTTTGCATGTAAACATATTTTAAAAAATTATTTTCAACCACTCTATTTACTGGGACGAAGATGTCCGTGATTAGCGCAAAATTATATTGATCCAAAAACAGTTAGAAACAGAGGAAAGAAAAATTATCCACATAGTAATTGAATGAAAAATAAGCCCAATTATTTTTAGTTATTTTCAAGCAAGTTTAACTTGGCGAATGTTGGTCTGATCTGTATAGTGGTTAACAATGCTGATTATCCTGTCCTTAGGGATTCATTCGAATTCCATAATAATTGCTTGACATGCGAGAATTTAAAGTACTAGCAAGATGAAAGCCTTTCTCGAGAGGTTTAGTTATACGAGAAGAGCAATGGTAGACCCTCCTCCTTTTTTACATGAAAAGTGTATTTCTGGCGCACTGTGAGTAACATTGTCTTTAAACAGACAGCTATATGGACAATGAGTATTGACCACTGATGACGCTTAGGTTGTTAGTGTCTGGTCATTTGAAACAACAACAGCAAAGTGGAGAATATATTCATATAAATGTTACGTAAATCAATATTCTAAATAAAACAACCACATTGTAAATAAAGGAAGAATAAGCAGCGTTAGAAATGAAGAAAAAAGCTATACATGACATTAATAAACGTTATTTGCAATAGAATTTGAAAATTATTATTGAGTTCAAATAGAGTTAGGGTGATGATTTTTGGTAGTAATTCTTCATTGTTCCGGAACAAGTTATTGTTTTTTCTTTTATTCATAAAAAGCCATGTGGATCCTCTTCTTTTAAATCGGAAATTGGTTTAAATAGAATATATGGCATTATGACTATCATTTCATTTCTTTTTAGCAAACGTAATTGACAATTATTTGGTTATCAAAAAATTTAATTCAATCAGTAATTTTTTCTTGATTATTTCAGTCACATTTGCGCGTAAACGTGTGCAAACTTTATAGTTAACATATTAAGGAATCATAAGCAACTTCTAATTAACTTCAAGTTTCCCAGAAACTTTTCAACAACTAGTTACGTAAGGATTTTCTTTCTCTTTAGGCTATTGTCACATATCCATATTTTTTCAGGCGAGCAACCGTT